GCAGGAGGGGTGGGTCTGGGAGCCTGGCCTCACCTCCCTGTGCAGGATGAGTGAGTGTGGGAGCGCGGCCTCACCTCCACGTACAGCAGGGGGAAGATCCCGATCTTGTCTCCCAGCATTCCCTCCGCCCAGTTGTCGTCCACTCTTCTGATTACAGTCAGGACTTCATCCTGGAATCACCCCGTGTAGGCAAAGCACAGGGACACGCACAAAACGGATACAAAAACAGAACCAAGAGAGCGGTTAGTGTCACTGCAGCTAAGGAAAGGCTCTACGCGATGACTCATTCTGAGATCGGCGTGAAAACCGTCCCTCCCACGTCTTCACCCAGGATCTCTCTTCCTCTCCCATATTGATTTTAGCAGCAAAGAGCCTCCAGTGGAAGTGTGTGGCAATTTACAATCTAGTGAGCACTTTAAAATTCATGTTCCTAATACGTGCTTATAAATAAAATGGTTTTCAACAAATATAAATTCAACTAAGTATAAAACTTTCTATGTTCCTGCCTCCACCAGAGCACAAAAGATGACCCAATCCAACTCCATTTATTTAGAGTCGTGGAAGCTCTGAACCCTGTTAAATCCTTGTCGTGCCAGGCAGTAGCAAGGACAGAGGCAGAAGGTGGGCAGACGCAGGAGGAAGGAGGGGCGTGAAGCAGGGACACAGGCGTGCGGTGGGGGAGGACTCGCCCGGTGCCCCCGGAGGCGCCACGAGCCGCGGGGACAGACGACAAGGGCGGGGGACAGGACGAGGAGCGAGGGGACGACCGGGCGGCAGCAAGCGTCGGGGGGCCGTGCTGGTGCCACACGGGGTGCAGTGGGACTGTCCACGGGCCATCTGCCCAACCGCCCTCCACATCCAAACCGCCTGCCTTTGTCCCCCGGGGCCTGCGTGGACACCGGAGGCCTGCCTGGCGCTCAGGAGCTGACAGCCAGAGCAGCCCTGTGGGCCCGGCTGGGTCTGAAAGCACCGCCTGCCTTACCAAGGGGCCTTCGACCCCTTCGTGTGAAGCAGTGATGTGGGGTGTGGGCCCCTGGGGTCAGAGGGACACTCCATCTGGAGCATCCTGATGGACTTCCTGACATCACCGGAGAAGCTGCTTCCCCGTGAACGGAGGGGCCGCACAGTTTGGGGAGTTTATCTGGGGCGAAGTGGGACGAGGTGATGGGTGCTGGACATGCCTCCCAGAGGACATGGGGCAGGAAAGGCAAGACCAGGAGTCTGTACTGGCAGGTCCCCATGCTCCCTTCCAAACCTCCCCTCTCCTAGGGGTTTAGGGGACAGCGCAGGGGCAACCGCACCCCTCCTTCTCCAGGTCCTAACCCCAATTTCCCAGCTTAAACAAGTACCAAATAACAAGGGCTGTGTGACTTCAAAATATTTCTTTTCCCAATTGATACAGTCCAGAAAATGCAACAGACACTGAGGGAATCTCAGGCTTTCCCACGTTTCGGGGTGGCTGGTTCTCCATGGCCGGGTGACACCGACAAGGGTTTCCTTGTAGTCAGTGCTTGGCCATCAAGGCGGCGGGCTTTCCTGATAAGCATTAGGGCCAAAGTGGCCGACTGGCTTGAGAAGGGATGAGCAGAGAGGGCACCTTGCTTATCTCACATAGAGTTCATGACCAGGAGGGCCCTGTACCCGTAATAAACTCCACTCAGACCCAGCCAAAGGGTGGCCCCCAAGACCTCGCCAACGGTGCAAAGGAAAAGGTAACTGAAGGCTTCCTACAAGCCAGAGCTTTCGCAGGAGCAAAATAAAAGAAGACATATAATTTTGCAAAATTAAAAAGAAAAAATACCAGATTAATTTTGGTAAAAAATAAAATACCATAATATCTACACGGTTATTTGAGACTGGTCTAGATATTAGAGCCATAGAAATAAAAGGAAAAAAATAGGAAGTATAAATATTGGGAAGAAAAATCATATGATTTTCTACCTAGAAAAACAGAGTATTAGTTAAAAATTAGAATAAGTAAGAATTTGAGAAAGGCTGATAATTTTAAAATAAATACATGAAAATCATTGGGTTTCCCATCTACCAGCAATAACCAGTTAGAAAATGTGATTAAAATTGGCTAATCATTAAAAAAACAAAGTTAATTCTCTAATTCACTGTATACACCGAAATTAATTCCCTAAGTATTAAAGATTTAAATGTTAGAAAAAAACCTTGAATAACCTAGAAGAAAATGTGAATAGATGTTTAATCTTGAGGTGGGGAATGGTCTTAAGAAGTAAATAACAAAGATTTGGTTACAGAAAAATGAAATTCTCTACGTTAAGAACAGCAAGAAAACAAAAAGGGAAATAATCTAGAAAAATACTTGCAGGACAAACTGGAGACTAAGACCTAATATCCTTGCTACATAAGGACGTAAGAGACACAGCAGGAAAGAGAGACACATACTTTAAAAGAAAACCAGGCCAGGGGCAAAAATCAGGCAACTCACAAAAAAGGAAGAAAAGCAAACTGCTGTTAAATACATTTAAAAATGTGATACCTGACTGATATTCAAAAAAAGTACAATTTTAGACAGGAAAATTCCTTCTCCCTTCGTTGGTCTTTGGTGTCTTATCAGATTACCGGGGATGAACACAAGCCCGCTCGGCGTGTTCAGCACGATGGCTACAAGCACTTTCTCATTTCTGGTGGGGATATACATTTATGGCGGTGGTGTGGCAAGTCCTACCAAACACAAGAAGCTGCATATCCACTAATCTGACAAAAACACTTCTAGAGACTCTTTCAAGAAGATCACAGACATGCAAGAAGATTCAGCTCCGAGTATGTTCATTACAGTGTTTCTTCAACTAGAGAAAAACTAGAGACAACTGCACAGCCAGAGAGGGTTGGTTAGATAAAGTATGGTACATCAACCAATACCATAACCAACTGCAGCCCACTCCAGCCAGCCTGTCCTCCCTAAGGAGGAGGGGAAAGTGGAGATGCACAGGTAGAGCTCACAGCCTGTAGGTACAACTCCTTACACGACGGGGCTCTAATAACAGGGTGAGAGGCTACAGAACATTTCCCCTCCACGTCACTAAAGGCCTATTGACAGCAGTACCTTTAACGTGGTACATTTTATGTCCAAATATCAAAAAGGAACAAAAAATTACTAGACATCCTAAAAGGCAAAAAACAGTTTGAAGAGACAGAGCAAGCATCAGAACCAGACTCAGATATGGCAGGAATGTTGGAATTATCAAACAGGGAATTTAAAACAACTATGCTAAGGGCTCTAATACATTTAAGTAGACAGCATGCAAGAACAGGTAGGCAATGCAAACTGAGAGATGGTAAGTCCAAGAAAGAACCAAGAAGAAATGCTGGAGATCAAAACACTGTAACAGAAATAAAGAATTCCTTTTATAAGCTTATTAGTAGATTTAACAGCTGAAGAAAGAATCTCTGAGTTTAAGGATGTCTCAACAGAAACTTCCAAAACCGCAAAGCAAAGAGAACAAAGACTGAAAAAGAAAATAAACAAAAACCCAAAACAGAACAGAATATCCAAAAACTGCAGGATAACTACAAGAGGTGCAATATACACGTAACAGGAATATAGGAAGGAGAAGAAAGAAAAAAAGGAACAAAAGAAATATTTGACACAATAATGACTGAGAATTCTCTACCCTGAAAAATAACTCTTCAATAGTGAGAAAGAAATAAAGACTTTCTGAGACAAACAAAAATTGAGGGAATTTGTTGCCAGGAGACCTGCCTTGCAAGAAATGTTAAAAGAAGTTCTTTAGAGAGAAGAAAAGTTACATAGGTCAAAACCTTGACTCTACATAAACAAAGAACGTTGGAGAAGGAATAAGTAAAGGAAAAATTTAAAAAACAGTTTGTTCAAAATAATAATAGCAACAATGTATCTAATTACATATGCTTATGTACATGCCATATATATGTATATCATATATACAAATATATACACTTATGTATGTTTATATATAAGTTAAATGAATAACAGCAATGACAAAAAGGACAGGAGGAAGGAATTAGGATTATTTTGTGATTATAAGGTAACTGCACTACCTGTGAAACAGTAGTTTTATCTGAATGTGGACCTGGATTAGTTGTAAATGCATGTTGCAATCTCTAGGGCAACCACAAAAAAAATTTTTTTAAAGGTACAACTGATATGCTAAGACGGGAGAGAAAATGAAATCATTTAAATTACTTAGTTAAAACTGCAAAAGGCAAAAAAAGGATGGAAACCAAAAACAGGAACAAAAATCAAAGAAAACAAATGTGGTAAATATTAATTCAACAATATCAATAATCACTTTGAATAGCAATAGTCTAAATGTACAAATTGAAAGACAGAGATGGTCAGGGTGGATCAAAAAAACAAGACCCTACTGTATGTTATGTACCGGAAACCCATTTTAAATATAAAGATATATATATAAGGAAAGATATACCACGCTAACACTAATCAAAAGAAAGCAGGAGTAGCTATACTAATTTCAGGAAAAGCAAACTTCAAAGCAAGGAAAGTTATCAGAGATAAAAAGGGGCATTACATAACGATAAAGGTGTCAATTCTCCAGGAAGACAACAATCCTTAACATGCATGCACCTAACAACAGAGTGTCAAAACACGTGAAGCAAAAACTGATAGCGCTACAAGGAGAAACAGGTGAATCCACTGTTACAGACTGGAGACTTCAAAGCCCCACTATCAGAAATGAATGACCCAGCAGGCAGAAAATCAGTAAGGACCAAGCTGAACTCAACACCACCATCAATCAACTGGATATAATTGACATCTATAGACTACTTCATCCAGCAATGGCAAAATACACATTTTCTTTGAGGTCACATGAAACATTCACCAAGATAGATCACATTTCGGGCCATAAAACACACCTTAACAATGCTAAAAGAACAGAAACCATACAATGTCTGCTCTCAGACCACAATGGAATTAAACTAGAAATCAATATCAGAAAGATAATTGGAAAATTCCAAAATACTTGGAATTAACACAATTCTAATAACATTTGGTTCAAAGAAGAAACATCAAGAGAAATCTTAAAATGTTTTCAAACAAATGAAAATAAAAATACAATTTGTCAAAATGTATGGGCTGCAGTGAAAGCAGTGCTTAAAGGTAAATTTATAACACTGAATGCATATATCAGGAAAGAAGAAA